AATTTCGCAGTCACAGGATAAGTCGATTAACAGGACTACGAAGGAACGGATACGGTGCTTACCAAAAACGGGCAGGAGCCAACGGGTCAAGTTGGTTGGATGGATACATCTTCTCTTTCTCTCTCTCTCTCTCTCTCTCTTTCTCAACATCTTTCTCTCTCGCTCTCTCTATGAGTTTTCTCTCTCCAACCTTGATTACGCTTACACTTACGTGTACGTGACGATACATGATACATACGTACATACGGATTTCAATGCACTGTATTCTCGGTATACATCGAGCGTTTAAAAGTAGCCGCCTGACCCGAATCCCACGTTCGTCGTGATTGATATAAATGTTGCAAAACAGACGAACGTCCGACGCCGAATGTATCAGAAAAACAGACAAACTATGTACAATCGGTACATAGTTCCGACGTTAGCGAGAATTGTTAACGAGAACTGAAAAATTTAGTATAAAAGAAAATGTCAATTTGTTTGAAACCATTATTAATGATATAGTTAAAAAAAAACAAGAAGCCATATCGCAGTCCCGTAACAAATTGAGATATCTTCATATGCAGAGTGGTCCCTAATCAAAAGTATAAACCACGTGGCATGTATACATTTCTCCCTGTCTTCCTCTCGTCTCCCTTTGATTATGATTAAAATCGCCGAAAGATTAAAGTCATGCTTGAAAAAGAAGGTGATAATAAACCGTTCAGGTGCCATAAAGGTGGTCGCGCAATATATTGGAGACTTCATTCCCGATCATCCAAGGAAGAAAATTATATTTGCTAAAAGAAAAATGACGTCACGGACTAAATTTTTCGCTGTCCATTATCAAGTACGTTTGTGCCACATCGCGTGATTTTTCTTCGCGAACCAATTCATTGCGGGACCTTACTCGCAGGAACGCCAGAGCTGTTTTTATTTGGTATTGTATTTCTCTTACTGTATTAAACACGCCTAGTTTTTATTTAACAAGATGATACAGGATGGCTAAAGTCTGTTAAGCATGTACGCTCCGCGACATTATAAACTAATGTACAGCTGAAGATTATTTGCCTACAGGATTCTATGCATGATGTAGGAATACCAGGCACAGCAATGACCTCCCTTATTGGACGTTTCGTCCTAAGCAAAAAAATTCTACATTCTCGTTAAATATACCGCAAATAACATTTTATGAAATAGTTTTTGAAATTATCACACGTTCTCCGGTACGCGCATCGCTTTACTTGATATACCTACATAATGGGACTGTATATACTCTTTAACGCATCTACGTGATTTTTTCATGTTTGCTTTTCTTTTTTCTTTTACCGCGAACAGTCGCTTAGAGTCCTGGGCATGAGCTTATTGTCTCGAGAAAAAATGGACCGAGACTGTACAATCTAAAATGAAAAAAAAAAAAAAAAAAAAAAAAAAAAAAAAAAAAAAAAAAACAAAAAAAAAAACGGAAAAAACAAAATGAAGATATCTCGCGATCATGGCGACGGTTAATACGATCGGAATAGATATTTTTCTTTTCCTTTCTTTTTTTTTTGCGTACGCGATTGATTTTTCATGCGATTGCTTCCGATAAACCATGGCCACGCTCGCGATAGGTCAGTACTTGTTGTGATAATCCGATCGTTATGTCCTATACATCCGATCGGTCGCTACTTGCATGTACTCGCTATGAACTAAAAGATTGAGCACACAAACACTTATCTGATGATTCCATTATCGATCGTCTTTGTCCAAGCGATGGAACGCTCTCGAACCATCGCTATCCAAACCGTTTTCTCTCCTCTCTCACCCGCGATTGTTAGACTAGATCTAACCGATCAAACGTTTCTTCCGCGGTTAGACGATCTCGACTCCGCGCATTTTCCGATCACATAATAGAGAATAATAATAGACCAAAAAGACGCTCGAATTAACCGTGGAATTAGAAATTTGATTGTGTCTTCTGTGTGTACATACGTGTTTTATTAGTTTTAAATTTCACAAAAACAATAATTTACACGCGAGCCCATGCAGACTTTTGGTCGTCTCGCGTGCGGATGCATAAGGATTAAGTTTATTACCGTTACAACAACACACTATGTATGTGTATAGCTTGATTGATTATTTCGCATTGCGATGATCGATTATAATGCTTCGCAAAATTCACCGTGTTCGCATATTGACGAACCTCCCCGATCAGACTCGGTCTGTAGACCTTTTTCTTTCCTTTTTTTTTTTTTTTCCCCCCATAAGAAAGAAGACCACAAAAGTCATCCAAAAAAGCACATTACATGATTATGACGTAGTGCATTTTCAACACGATTTATTACAAAGACTGATAAACACATGATTCAAAGACGATTTTTTTTTTTCTTTCACGCACTTCCCTTCCTTCTCTTTTCATCACGCATACTCATTCACGCGCGCGCGAAGAAACTTGCTCCTATCAATAGAATCTCTATCTACTACGAGAAAAAAAATCACATCGGAATAGCTACACTAATAAGATGTTTTGCATCAAACAGTAATCAATTATAATCCATAATATTGTAATAATAATTACAATAATAATATTATAGTGTAATAATATATTTATATATACTTTTATTAAAAAAAAAGACTGTCTTGCGACGGTGCATGAGCGATCGCGTCCTCCGAGGCTATTAGAAACCGCTCGTACAAAATGAAACGCAAACGTATGATGACTAAAGCTTTTTCTTGTCGTCAGTTACAAGGGATTTTAAGAGAATTTATCGATTTAATGATTTCCGCCGTTTCGTTAATCACACAATCAGTCTTTACGCGATGTAGCGTAGTGTCTCCCGATCTCGGAGGGCGTGTCACAATAGTATATGTGTTGTTTTTAAGACTTAGCATCGGATCATACGGTTTAATTACACAAAAGATATTCCAAAAAACGCTCCCATTTCTTTTTTTCCCTTTCCTTTCCTTTTTACGTCAGCTAAAGATAACACATAAAAAACAAACAAAAAAAATTCTACAAAACGTTTCCGTACAGTGATTCTCAAGAGAAAGTGAGCAAAGTATGGGCAAGCGGAGCACCTTTGTTATCTGAGAAAGACAGTTTTATTTTATTTTACTTTATATTCAAAAACATGCCTCTGTTCCAAAGAGATCATCAGACTCAATGAAATAATATTTTTAAAGAATATTATAAAAAAATCATTCTCTTCAACGGCTTTGTACATTTCGACTTACCCATTTAAACAATCGTGCTCACACTTTCCATATTAACAATCTTTCGTCCAATAATTCGAACTCACTTTTATCGATAAAAGTGCCTTAAATGTAGCTCTTTAATCACTTTTATCGATTAAAAGTTGAAAATATGGACCATAACAAAAAAAAAAGAAAAACACATGACGAGTCGATCCTTCGCCAAGTCTTCGTACTCGCTACCCTGGCGTCCGTACGCACTTTACTTCGGTGTTACGCAAGTGTACGCTATAGGTGTGTAGATGTATTTGTGTGTGGGTGTATGTTTGTATGTATATGTGTATATGTGTATAGTGTTCTCCCTGTAACATCATCGTCATCATCCCGCCGCTTGTCCGTTCGTTCAGTATGGATTATACTTGGTACGCTCGGACTTGAACTTGCCGCTGTCGGTCGGGCCTGGTGCGCCCGGGCTACGAAGCCTCGGCGTAAAGGTCTTGTGCGATCGGTGCACGCCGGTAGTCTGGACCGGTAGCGCGGATGCAGCCGCGCCAGCAGCACCACCTAGCAATTCCGTGAGTCCGCCGAGGGCGGTGAGGCTAGATAGGGCGTTGAGGGCGCCTGGCTTGCTTAGCAGCTGAGCCAAGGGGATGGCGCTGGCCAAGGGAGAGGCAGTGGTAGTGGTGGTAGAAGGGGAAGCACTGGCCCCGGATGCCCCGGGAGTAGTACCGCTGCCAGGGGTTTGGGTATTTTGGGCCTCTAGGTTAGCTTTCTGCAATTCGACACTGAGGAAAAGACACAAAATGTAAAAAGGTGAGGGCGGGAACGTTCCTCGTAAAACAGTGTGTTAAAGAGATTAAAAAAGAAAAAAAAAAAAACAAAAATAGAACATAAGAGATGATAAAAAGTAAAGAAGAGAATAGTAAAATAATAGTAATAGTTATAGTAGTAGTAGTAGTAGTAGTAGCAGTAGGAGTAGAAGTAGTAGTAGTAGTAGAAGTAGCGGTAGTAATAATAATGGTAGTAGCTGCCGCGGAAAGTTATCGAACGCAAAACAATGTAAAAAAATATATTTATAAAAAGAAGAAGGAATTATCAGAAAAAAAAAAATGAACTAAATTACAAGATATAGGCTTAGAAAGTTATGTCAGAGGTGCTCTGTGGAGCATGATTATCACGTACACCGGCTACGTGGTTCGTGGGAGGGAAGTTTTTGATCGCGTCAGGCCGCATTTAGACTCTACCGGGTGTCCGTAAACGTTCATACCGGACATGGGGACCGGCGCAGGGTCGACCCGCGTGTCCGTGGAGTGAGACGCCGAGCACGGTGCCGGTAATCGTCCTCGAAATGCGTCCTGATCGCGAGGAGGCGCGCAGCAGAGGATGCACACGAAGAAGAAAAAGAAAAAAAGAAAAAAAAAAAAAAAAAATAAATAAGTAGGAAGAAGAAGATAAACACGCGTTCGCTGGTCTACTCTTTCAGAATAATACAAGTTCCTACAAAGAAAAAAGAAAAAGAAAAAAAAAAAAAGAAAAAGAAAAAGAAACAAATATGACATCCACCACTCTAACAAGTAGATTTGCGAACGATGCGATTGTTTCTAGATGTAACGGGCTCGTGGTTCGTTGTACCGGCGGGGAACACCATTGAGGAACGCCTCTGTTTCGTGAATTACGTGCATTCATACTCGCGTCGTGAGGAGGGTGGGGGGAGGGGGAGGGGGCGCTCGGTCTCTATGGTGCGTCGGTAGAACGAGCCACGGGCCTCGCGGCTTATAGAAAAGGCAGAAATCAAAAGTAAATTGGGCACACTTGGTATGCGCTCTGTCATAAATCGCGTCAATCGCGTTGCCAATTGAGCATACAGTTGAGATCGCGAGACAAAATCTGATCGCAACGAACTTGGATCGGTGGTTGACTCGATGGTGATCGACTCGCGAACGCGAGTTGTTATCCGAGCAAAAAGCCGGAAATTGGGCGAAAACCAATGGCAGAGCGCAAACCAGTGGCCGACGGGAGTGCCGGGATTACACGATAATGTAATAAATACGATGATAAAGTTAACGGGCAAAATACAGAAGTATCGAGATGATAAATATATATAACAGCATTGCGCTATTTATATGCAGTAGTAAAATGTGAGTGGCACACAATCTGGAATAAAATATAATGGATTATAATTATAACGTGAGGGATGTAACGTGTGGAAGTGTAGTCGTTCCGCGCGCAATTTAAATTGTACTCGGCTTGATATGCTGGTGGGATCTTACAATGATGTGACGCGAGCTCGTGCTAACTTTAGTCAGTCATCCTCGAATCTCGTCGACGACTACGTTAGTACCGTTCACCATTTTAATGTTCGCTATGATGAAAGTAGATTAATTCCACAGCATATAATTAAAAAAAAAAAAAAAAAAAAACAAAAAAATAAAGAGCAACAGACTTTCTTTAACACCGACCAATGAACATTAAGCGATGGCAACAACAGCGATGAAAGCGTATATAACTAAAATGTAAAGATGCTACGGCGGTTCCTGGCAAGGACGAAGGAAACCTTTTACATTTATCGCGACAAATAAAGACGCGATAACTTGTTTACGCAACGTCTGTTCGCTTCTTTGCAAAATAATAAATAATAATGCCAGAAATATAATCGCGGCTCTAAAGTATGAAAATAACGACGTCACTTCTTTGGATTGAGTTGAGTTAAACGATAAAATAGGATTGATAAGCGTAAATGTTATAAGCTGATCGTCCATTACCGGGAGCCTGTCAAACTAGAAAGAAATTTGTGTCATTAAAAAACCGAATCGAAAGGAGGAACTGTGATACGTTTGCATCAGGACTGTTCGGGATTGATTGTCACTAACGGAGCGACAGTCCTCGTACATCTTTTCATTATGTCTTTCAGTCGGTAGTTTATTTGCTTGAAAGGACAGCCAGCGACAATGGGAACAGATGTTGAGCGGAGTTGTGTCTGCAGGATACTCGGGGGTACTGGACCTGGAAGACAGGACCTGGAAATAAAGGATTAAGATCCTCTTCCGTTTCGTGGCCGTTTCGTGGTCGTTGTCTCTTCCGGTGTCTGCATACGTGAAATACGCTGGGGCGCCCCGCCGCACACCGCCGTCGATGCGACGTCTTCTCCTCGCATCTTTACCTTACGACTACGTACGACCTGTTTCGCTGTAAACTGAGGTGGCATTACGCGACCGTCATTCTTACCGTCTCAATCAGACAAGATTTTCGCGACCATTTCTGTTACCATTCTGTAATCTTGTCAACAACGTTACAGAAGCAATATCTTTCTCAGCTGTCAACGCGTTCCGCGGCAATATCTTTCTCGGCGTAATGCCACCTCTTCTAGAACATCTCTCGCGGCGACACGCAGTAAAGACGACTTTTTTCCTGATGCCAATTATATTCTTTTTTTTCAAGAACATAATAAATTTTCTTTCTCACGTTTACATTAATACTTTTTTGTCTTCTAAACTTCGTCTAAACTTCGAATCTCATGGGAAGAAATAAAAGAATATATTTATATAAATATATAATATGCTTTTTAAACCATCCATTTCACGTGAATAATATCTCGTTAAGCACATTCTCTCTTTCTCTTTGTCAACGTTTCTTAAAAATCTTATCTTTAATCTTAAATTCATTTACAGTCTGCAATATTTGTGCGGCAGCTTAGTGGGCAGAGGAATATGGAAAGTCATCTGTACGCGGGTTGTCGTGAGCAAGGATAATAACAATGATAATGGGAGATGTCGCGCGAAGGATGCCGATTCGACTATCTTACATATTTACCATTTAGAGACATCAAAAGTAAAGTGAGGCAGCAGATTGTGTGAGGAACGAGTAAACACAAACAGGCGAATCGGCGGACATCTTGATCGTGGACAGGACAGTTCGACAAGAGATCGCTCTACGCCGGCGACACGCGCACCAATCTGGCGGGCGGCGTCGGCAGAGATGCGGGAAGAAGAAACAAACAAATAAATAAATAAATAAATAAAAAGAGAGATATATCATGGGGGAAGGGGAGGAAAATGCATCGCGATCCACTGCAAAACGTAGCCGGGACGAGTTCGACTGCTTTCTATTGAGAATGGAATTCGAATGGCATAGCGCGAAAGCCGAACCTTGGACGGACTTCTCGGAATGGTCTTCCCGTCGGTCCGAAGGTTTGACCTTCGGTCTGAGGGTCTAGGCCTAAGGGAGAGGCCGGTGGTGCTAAGCCACGGTGATACTCACCTCATATTGATGAGGTACTGTGCCAACGCCACCGCGTCCGGATTCCCGGTTATGGTGATCGTGCGATCCGTTGCTCCGCCCTCCCTCTCCTCGCAGTTGCTGATTCTGATCATGGCGCCGGAGATCTGACGAATCTCGGCAATCTTGGTACCACCTTTTCCAATGATGCAACCGATCAGCTCATTTGGCACAGTCATCTCATGCGTCTGATTGTTCGCCGCTGGTTGCTGTCTGTTCGTGTTGCTCGTACGCAGCTGGCTCCCGGCCAATGCGGCTAACGCTATGCCATTGATTGCGTAAATATTAGAAATTAGTTCCTTCCCGAATCTAAGCGCGTAAATGAAAAGTACGGAAAGAGAAGTCGTAGAAAGAAAAGCTGTTCCTTACAAAGAGAATCGAGATAGCAAATGGAGGTATATTTTTACAAATGGGCTACTCCCATAAAATCGGTTGCATCCAAGTTACATTACGATTTAAACTGATATTATCGTTCTCTCCTACATCTCTCGCTAGTTTTGCCTTTACAACTCCAATAAACTTCATCTAATGTTTGTGGCAACTATCTGTAGATAAATTTTCAACTTCTCATCGTTATATATATATATATATATATATATATATATATATATATATAGACT